ATATGTGCTTATATGGGCTCCTTATATCATTTGGTTCTTTGGTGTCCTTTTGGAGTTTCTAAGTGTCCTTTCTTGGAAAGACATTAAATTTATCTTGAAAAAAGCTTGCAGAAAATATAGATTTTTGACAATCACCCTTCAATCTTTTGGTTTACTTTGCTGGATATAGCAAATGATGACAAAATAAACATTTGAAACAAGATAAATGGTCTATGCTTCATTTCATGAAGTGTGTGATTAATCGCGATTAATCTTAGAAAAAGGATGTGATTAATCAGATGAAAAATTTTAATTGATTGACAGCCCTAATATACTGTATATATATATATTACATTTAGTCTCTCAATTAAATTGCTATTTAAAATAGTTTTTGAAGAAGTTTAGCACATCAGAGCGCAAGATATCAACTACCTACATTTGCAAGTTTCTATATAATGAATATAATAACAAAGTGGCATGTAAGCATGTGTTGGCGTACCGTGGAACGGAGCTTTCTCTGAGAGCCTGCTCCACGTCCATGTCTTCACTCTGGAAGTCCACGATGATGATGTTGAAATTGTTGTCCTTGGTCTCACGGTGCAGGAACTCCATGTCTGAAATGAACTGCTGAACCCAACGCGCCTGATTCTTCACTGTAGGGAACAAATCAACAAATACATTATAATAATACCACATAATATTCATCCGTGAGCTACATCAAAACAAAGATTTGCCTTTTTATCTGCATAGCAGAAAACGTACTTGGGCATAACTTGCAAAAAACTTGCAACTTGAACTTGTATTTATATGATATAGTCTTGTTTTTATATTTTAGACAAAGCAAAAATATATGATTCTGCTGTTCTATAAATGTAATTTATTTTAAACATTTAATTTATAGTCCCAAGGTACTGACAGCTTCATTTCGGTTTATAAACATTATTACATCTGTGGACATTTTTTCCCAGTTGGCCTATTAAGCCAAATGTATTTTGTTTTATAGAATTGTGTTAATGACATGATAAACTTGTGTAAATTACTGTTATTGTGATGTATTTATCAGCTGCTTGGACTCTCATTCTGGTGGCACCCATTCAATGCAGAGCATCCATTGGTGAGCAAGTGATTTAATGCTAAATTTGTCCAAATCTGATAAAGAAACAAACTCATCTACATCTTGGATAGCCTGAGGGTGAGGACATATTCAGCAAAATTTAAATTTTTGGGTGAACTAGTCCTTTAATACAGTTCTATTAAACCAACCTTTTTTCTTCTTCTACGAGTGAGTGTTATGTAAACTGGTTGCCTGTAGTTTGAGTTTCTGCTAAACAAATCCAAACTGCAATGTATTGTACTGTTAAGGCTAGTTGTAACAGATTCCACATACACGAATGGAATTTCTGATCAGACAAGGGACATTTTTTCATCACATATCTGCCAATCAAAATTAACCCACCATGTAAAACCTTTCAAATTCACTGCTACACAAAAATAAATTGAAAAAAAGTGAGAAACAACCATGAAAAACAAACCAGGTCCACACCTTGATTTGAAAGTAATGTTTAGTAAAGTTACAAGCAGATGAGTTTGAATAAGGTTAGAGCCAGGGTTGCCAGGTTTTCACAACAAAACTCACCCAATTGCTACTCAAAACTAGCCCAATTGTGTTTCAAGGGGGGTCCCCCAGTAAAAATCGCATTCCAGAGGGTAAAATATACGTTTTTTGGCAGGATTTCCCTGGTAAAATTCACATTTTAGGGGCTAAATATCACATTATCTGGGTTGCTTCAACCCGCGGACATGAAAAACAACCCGCAGCAACAGTGTTAAAGTAGCCCAATTCTGCGGGAAAACCGCAGACTTGGCAACATTGGTTAGAGCTAAACTGTGCAGGAAAGTGGACCATCTGGGTACATAGTTTCACAAAAATAGATAGATATTTATTACCTACCTGGTACCACAAAATGCACCATGACATTCTTTTTCCACTGCAGCATCACTGGCTGGCACAGCAGGGGTTTGGCATACACTGTGCCCCACTGCAGGGTGCCGTGGGCCCCGCGGGTAGGTGTGCGGGAGGGTGGAGCAAGTGGGCTGGCGACAGGGGAAGAGAGGGATGATGCTGTGACCCCTTCCATATTCTCCAGACTGTCTTCTACCCGGCTACGGTGCAACAGCATGTAGATGTACTCGGATAGACGGACCACTTTACGACCTCTCTCCATTAGCTCCAGCTCTATTAGGTAGCGGTTACCACGTGCAGAGTCACGCCGCTTTTCTACATTTATAATGCGGAGGAGAGTGTAAATCCTGAGAAAGAGGGAGGAAAAAAAAAGATTACATGGTGAAGTGAGTGGTTGTGCGATTACTTGAAAATGCACACCAGTGCAATTTTAAATGTATATGAATGGTAAGGTGCCCATTTTCAACAATAATTACAGTAATTCTCTTTATTGTTAAAAAGCTGTGCAGTTGAAGAGAGGAAAAAGAAACTGAAAACAAATATTTTACACATTAAATTATTTTAAATTTTTTCAGAATTATTTTCAGCAGAACAACAACAAAAAAGAAATGTGTATAAATTTAGTTATAATAGTAATATAAATAAAAATACATAAAATGTAAGGTGTCCACTTTCCAGTAATTATAAGTAATTATCTGTATCGCTAACTAGACAGACAGGAAAAAGAAACCTCAAAAGGAATGTAACAATGAATTTAAAAAAAAGATGCCAAAACACAAACACTGTGTGAAAACCGATATTTACAGATATATTGTGAATTAAATGTGTAAGTCTCTATATTGCCAAATGGCTGTAGAGTTACACTGCGGAAAAATAATTTTAAATATAAATATTGATATAAATACAAATATATAAAGTGTAAATACTGATTTTTACCGATATATCGGAAACGAAAATATTGGTTTCTATATCAGCCTCACCCTCCATTAAGTTCGTTGAGTTTCTCCATGTACTGTGCAAGAACGTCCACCACTTCGCTCTCAGATAGCTGCAGGTTTCCAGATACGTTGCACCGAAGATCATTCCAGTCAGAGCGCAATGTCTCAAAGTCCATGCTATTAACGGAAAACGTCCTCTGCCAATTAATGGCCTCCTCCGCCCACCCGGGACGAGGCTCCACATCCTCATAGCTATACTCCGAAAGGCCTCCTTCCTCCTCTGGTTCTGGGTCCGTGTCCGGCCGCTGCTGTTGAGACTCTGTAATCTCAGAGGTGTGCAAGTAGGAAGTGACACGGAGAGGCTCAGTCGGAAGCACGTTCTCAGAGGAGTTAGCGGACGGAGGGGTGGGCACACGAGGTGGTCGAGCGGTTGTGATGGGCCTCAAGGGATGCTGGTGTTTTTCCCAGACTCCTCGTATCCTTCTCTCAAAGCGGCTTGGGATTGCTGCTCTGTTTGGGGGCATGGGATTTTCAGCTGGCTTGCTGAAGTTGGGGCTCGCTGGAAAGACCTTGTTCTCTTGCAGAGGAGACCGTGCAAATAACTGGGATGCACGCAGAGCTCCTTTGCTGAGCTTTGGTTTAGCACTGAGGTTCACCAGCTTTGTGGTTTTGCCATTCTGGTACAGGAAAACGCCAGGGAAGACCTCTCTGGGTTGGCGTGAAACGAGACTTTGCTTCTCCTTAGCAGGGCGAGGTCTTGTGACGTAGATTTTGTTGTCCTCCTTCTTGCGTTCCTTGTTGGTGTGGCTGGTTCCAGGATTGTGGCTGTTGTCATGAGCGTGGTTGTTACCTGGGGAAGGAACAGTGTGGGCAGGACTGCTGAGAATTTGCTTGCCTCGACTGTTGAGGGCCACCAATGAGGATTTTGGCGGGAAAAGCAAAGCTGATCTACTTATTTTCGGTGAACGATCTTCTGACCAACCCTCTCTGAGGTCCCGGCGGTCTCTTTGAACCCAAGTGAGAGAACGACCTCGCACCACACTCTCACTTTTTGGTAACCCTACCTTAGCCTGATGGTCCAGATTGTCTTGGTCCGTCTCTTGAGGTTGAGACCCAACCACCTGCCTTGCTCTCGTGAAAAAGCGCCTTTGCTCTCTACTAAAAGTTGGGTTGTCCGGCTCTACCTCTTTTTTCTCCAGCATTGTGGGAACAGGTTTATCAGAGGGGCTTGAGGTGTGATTTGATTGGCTAGGTTGGACAGTCTTCTTTGCTGACTGGGTGCCAACAACTTGTGCTTCATCCTCAGGATCCGCCCCCTCTTCTTCTTCAAGAAAATCTAAAGCAGAACACCAAAAACAAACACTATGAGTGTAACTCCACCACTGTCGAGCAAGATAAATTTCAGACTCGTCTGACAATAAAGTGTTATATCATATCATCATCATATCATATCATATCACTTGATGCCAAGCTCACAAAGAGAACTTGAAAAATAATTATTGGATATTTGCAACTTTTAGGCCTATTCATATCAAGACTTTAAAGCTGTAGTATGAAACTTCTACAAGTGGCACCTAGTGGAATTGCAATATGTTTGAGTGACCCTGCAATAGGCGTTGTGAAATATACCTTACCTGCAAACTTGTTGCCTTTTGGCAAAACACACCGTTCTGACACTGAAATAGGCCATTTACGTGATTTGTACAAATCTGAGGAATTAAAAAAAATATGGGGCCATGTCCACACGTACAAAGATATTTTTATAAACTGATTTTTTCCTTCTTCCGTTTTAAAAAACAATCTCTGTCCATATGAAAACGCAAACGCATGCTATGAAACACTGTCAAGAGCATGCCAAACCAACAGGTGGCGATATAATCTCAACCGTAAAGCCATGTTGGCCAATCAGAAGCCTGAAAACGTAGGCGGAGATAACAGCGCAGGCTCCGACATCACAAGCCAAAAACAAGCCAAAAACTCCGGTTTCGCTGTCTACACGTTAACACTGCAACCAGAGTTTTCGAAAATCTTCACCCTGGCAGGAGTTTTCAAAAATGTTCAGTTTCAGTGACCTGGTGCTGCGTTTGCGAGTGGACGAACGGCCAAACCGTGTAGAAAAAGCTGTGGTTTTAAAAAGAACCGCGTTCGTGTGGACAGGGCCTGGGTATATGAATACATATCTGACAGGAACTGACAGTCTTCTGAAAAGTTTTTATGGCATTTTCTTTTCATCTTAACTCTGGGTTACGTTTAATGGAATCGTGTTTATAAGTGCAATGCTGCTTTGTGTACAAGGTAAATATCTTAGCTATTGTATTTCTGCTTTCCGTAAGCGCCACCTACTGGAGAGTGAATTTGTATTTTTATTCAGCCGGTATATCTTCCGTTCCTGTTCAGACTTGTTGTTTTTATCAAAGCTTGCACTATTTGAACTGTAAAGTTGTTTAAATCATAGTTTTTACAGTTATTTTATAGGATGTTACCAGGATTTTATAGTTTAGAATGTTGATACCTAAACAATGTGTAGTTTGTCTTATGAAAACACCTTTCATCAGTAATTTTCATGTTGTTGTCGATGTAACCAGGCCTTAACCTTTTGAAAATAAACACAACTCCAGCAATTCATTTCTTTTCTGGCTCAAACCCAAGGCCATTATCTCCTGATGAATATATCTGCCATGTTCTAATAAAGAAGCTTGTGACGGAACGATGCACTAATAAAGTGTTATTCCTCTTCTGGATCACTGATCACACGCAGGAAAACTCACCATCAGGATTAGGGAAGAAGAATGGCCTGTCATCTTCCTCCTCATCCATCTTCATGTATTTATAGAAGCCAAACCTGTTAGAGACAGAGATGGAGAGAAAAAGATCAAGTCCATGAAAGACAGAAATACAGAGTTTTAGAGAACTGTATTTATTCATCTCTCTTTCAGTGATCATAACGATTCAGAGTACCATTTAATTTCAAGAAATCTTCTGAGTTGAAGAAAAAAAAAAATACTTTCTTGATAAATGTCCCTGGACTTACTGTACACATTATATTTCATAATATATTTCAATATATTTATTGCCATTATAATCTATATACAAGCTTACTTCTCCAAATAGATGGGTGACTCTCTATAGAAGCACTTGTTTTCTCTTTCCATGTGGGTGAGGCGGGTGAAGTCATTGGGATAGACAAAAGAAAGATAGACCTGCAGGCAAAATACCAGACATGACAACCCCAAAAATTCACTTGAAATGTCAGTAGCTCACTACTGATCAGTAGAATATGTATGTGAATACTAGATAAAAGCCTATTGTCTAGCATATACTGTACTGCATGCTGCCTACAAATCTTTTGAAAAATAATGTGAAAGTATGCAACAATAAACATCTGAATAATTCTTGCTTTTTATTTAGGCAAGTGGTATAGAGTTTTCATCTCAGGAAACTGACTTTGTGTATTCAAATTACATATAATAAGTCAAAAAATGATATTGCTTGCAGGTAATGTCAAGCACATTGGATTGTAGGATATAGAACAAATGTAGCATTGTGAAGTCTGATTTGTCAAAACAAATGTTTGTTTCTTCATTTGATGCAGAAAATGAAATGTTATTTTCAGCGATAAACAAAATACAAAATCTATAATATAATGATGATAATTGATAATATTTTGTGTAAATGTACCTGTTTATTATTGCTCTCACCTTAATCTTGTTTTTGTGCTTTTGATTTGCAATTACTTTTGTAAGCCAAAAGGGGGCAGTAATCACACAGGAAGTTTTAGTACACCGCAGCAGCAAGTCAATACGTCAACAGGTGAAAGTGCATTGTTACTCAAAAGGCATTTTCTGTTGTATTATTTGGCAAAATGTGTGCAGAAATATATGTTTGTTTGACTTACAAACTGTAGGCCTTGATAGCGAGCGATAGGGAAGTCTTTGACCACATATGTTGGCGAGTACAGACAGGCGGGCAACACATTTTCAAGATGAGAGGGGTCAATCATTGGAACTATGGAGAGTATTGTGAGAAAGACAGTTTAATATTTAATAAGTTTAATATTACCAGAGGCAGATTATCAAATTCTCCTGCCAAACATTATTTGTCATTACGGAACACAAAATGAGGAAAAACAATTGCAGTGGATCCAATAGCAACAGAGAGACAGAAGAATCAAATAAAAAGGGACCTGAACAGACAGATAGAGGCTTACTGTTGAAGAAGGTGTCGCGGGGGTCCGGTTGCAGCATATCGGCGCCGTGTTGGCTGCGGGTGTGGGTCTCTGCTGGGACAGGCCCGTGGCTGGCCAGTGTCTGAGGAATGTGATCCACATGGTTCATCTTCAAACTGCTCTCATCTTTCACAAAGAAAGAAGGGAGAATTATTAATGGAGATGGGAAGCCATTGTTTGTGAACAGGCATTACACAGTAGGACTTTAAAAGGCAACATGAAGCAGAATTTACATACTGAAATAGGGGACCAAGTTATATCTAGAAATCAGAATATCATAAAGAATCAGGGAAGGGCTTTTTGACTTGGGCCAGTAAACAATTTCCTAGAACACCCTGGCAACTGTTTAGCAACACCCAAGAACACCCTATTGAATTCCGAACAATGCTTTAGCAACCACCTAAAACACCATAGAGACCCCTCATAACTAGTGTTGTCAAAAGTACTGACTTCGGTACCAGGCGGTTTTAAAAACATCCATTTCCCGCTAATATTTGAGCGCCGTTGAGCCGATTCTTAAACACTGCTGACTGGCCAATGTGTTCACGGCACGCACTCAACAGATATGACTATGATAATCAGCAGTGTTTAACAATTGGCTCAGCAGCACTCAAATGTTAGTGGGAAATGGACGTTTTTAAAATTTCACAACACCAATTTTATTTTTTCAATTTTGACAACATTACTCATAACACCCCAGCAACACCATAAAACACCCAGAACACACTGGTAAGTGCCTAGAAACACTTGAATGCTGGAGGAAAACATTAAAAACCATCTAACAACACCTCAAATTCTTAGCTACCCTCAGAAATCCACAGCAAGTGGCTAAAAATGCCATAGAAACCTCCCAGAACACCCACTCAACAGCAACTGCATTACAACAACCTAAAAACCCATAACACCCTCGCAACTAACCCTATGATTAGCACACCCCCCCCCCCCCCCCCCCCCCCAAAAAAAACCTGACATGCCATAGTAACTACCCAGAGCACATTATGAACCACCCATAACACCCTATTAACCACCTAACGCCATAACCACCCAGAAGACCCTGTTAAGTGCCTAGCAGCACTCTGATACATAGCAACCCCCAGAAAACTAGAAGCTGTATAACAGTGTCATAGGAACCACCAAGAACACCACATAAACCATCTAACTACATCCTAACTGCTTAGTTGCCCCCAGAAAACCACAGCAAGTGCCTAATGATGCCCTAGAAACCACCTAGTGCACATATTAAAAATCTCCCAACAGTAACTTCAACAACCCAGAACACCCTAGAAACTACCCACAATGCCCTAGTAACAACCTAACACCTTACAACTGAGGGACTCATATGCAACTATTACAGAAGGTTCAAACGCTCATTGATGCTCCAGAAGGAAAAACCATGCATGAAGATCAGGGTAAATTTAACTTATTTTGTATTCTGGTAAACATGCAACTATCTTCTGTAGCCTCTGAAAGGCAGTACTAAATGAAAAAATATGATATTTAGGCAAAATAAGAAAAATGTACACATCTCCATTCTGTTCAAAAGTTTTCATTTCAACCGCGGCTCGTAATGCATGGTTTTTCCTTCTGGAGCATCTGTGAGCGTTTGAACCTTCTACAATAGTTGCATATGAGTCCCTCAGTTGTCTTCATTGTGAAAAGATGGATCTCAAAATCACACAGTCATTGTTGGAAAGGGTCAAATACACAAAAATGCTGGAAAACCAAAGACCTGACCTTTGTGGGACCTGAAGGATTTTTCTGAAGAACAGCAGGCAGTTTAACTGTTCAGGACAAACAAGGGACTCATGAACAACTATCAATAAATAAAAAACAAAAAAACAACAACAACAGATCTGTGGATCATTCAGGTAACAACACAGTATTAAGAATCATACTGTAATATACATTGTATGTGAAATATCTTATTCAGGTCAGCACTAAATAATTAATAATATTCATTTTGTATGATCCCTCTTATTATGGTAAAATAATGAACATTTTGCAGATTATGAAAGGGGGATGTAAACTTTTGACCTCAACTGTAGTGTACATTAACAATCGCCCAACAGCAACTTCAACAACCCAGAACACCCAAGAAACCACCCATAATGCCCTACCAAACACCTAACAACATAATAAACACCCTGACACTTGCCTATCAATTCCCAGAAAACTCTATCAACCTCCTAAAAATGGCCTAGCAAACACCAATAGTAACCATCTAACAACACCCTAGTAACTTCTTAGCTAGCCCCCAAAAAACATAGTAACTGCATTACAACAACATGGAAAGATCTAGATCTGTGATGCCATAGCAACCACCCATAACTCCCTAGCAACATTCTGACAACACCCTAGCAGTCACTCAAGATACACTGGCAACTGCCTATCAACACCCACAGCAGCCACCCAGAACACCCGAACAATCATTTAGCAATGTCCAAGCAACCACCCATAACACTCTAGCAACAACTTACCACCACCCTAGCAACTGCCTAACCATGCCCTAGTAAACACCCAGAACCCACTTGCAACTGCTTATCAACATCCTAGCGCCCTTGGAGAACACCCTAACAATCACCTTGGCAACCATTCAGGACTCCTTTGACAGATTTGCCTATGCCTATGTGCAGACTGTCTGTCTGTTTAAGCTCAAGGTCAGTGCCTTGCTAATATGTGGGTCACTCCACATCAGATACACCAGAATGTCTGGGTGACAATTGAAGATGCCACCCTTCAAACGACGAGGACCACCAGAGCCCCTCCACGCAGATGAGACAGGCTTTGATGTGTGCTTGAAACCCAAGAGAGAGCAGAGGTGGCTGTTGTCACACTCTGCACTTTAATGTGTGTGAGACGAACACTGTGAAGTGCTTAAGCTCTGTGTTGCGTTCAAAGGGAGTTCACATACTAGCAGCTCAACTCAAACAAGAACCAAAATGAAAGGGAACACACTCAAGTATTTAACATTGCAATACCACTAACGTACTAAACAAGAACTTTCCATTCAGGCCCTGGGCTATTTTAGCACACCACAGCAGAACGAGGTGTTCAAAATATAAATTTCTCACACATGCAAATGTGGCACTGACAATAACCAGTGGTGGCATGCTGTATTTTGCGGGATGATATAATTGTTCTTTTTCATGCATCAAAACGTCTCCTGGGTCTTACACCTACAACCCTTTGGTTATCAGCCCCAGTCTACCTCCTAATCATATCAAACCCTGCTGTCATTGCGAATGGGATTCTTCATTATGTTGCATATAATAAGCCTTGTACAATGTACAATACAATCACAATTCTGAAGGGTATTCATTTCATAGTATTTGACACTTGATGCAAGAAAGTCCTTGTCAGAACTCAATTTTTCACACAAGGCATTCAAGCATAACTCTGACTCTTTTAGGAGGACTGATGGCTTTTACCAGTCGTGTTGCCTAGAGACACATTCACCACAACCCTTTGCTTCCAACAGCGGTGTCTCTGAAGAACTAAATGTGTAAAAATAAAGGAACTGTTACATTAAAAGTTTATAGGAAGTTTTAACATTGAAGAGAAAATGTTATTGCTCAGATGGTGCCTTTTATAGCTCACAAGCTTTCTTTTAAGCATCCTTTCTTTCTTTTAAAATTCCAAAGCATAAATAAAAAGTGACACTAATGAGACTATTGTGTTTTAAGTTTAGAGTATTGTGGCTAGCATAGCTCAGATACATTTGCCTTAAATTATTTTATGATAAATTAGATCATATTGAACTGGCCATCCATCCGTTTCCATTCCTTTGGTCTGAGATACTGGAATAGGCTCCAGCTTCACTGCGACCTTACAGTGGAGATCAAAATTAGAGAACAATATTGTTAATCTTCATCACTCAAAATTTGAAGTAATATTTTTTTTGTTTGACAAAATAGCCAAGCCATTTCAACAAAAACCTTTATTTTGTGGAAAACAGTTATCAAAATGACAGAACAGTAACCACTGTAGCACAAAAGAAGAATACAACTAAAATCTTGGGGAGTTTTTAATTAGTAGGAACTGTAGAGGCCCTTGCTTTAAATGACTTCAGCACATCTGCGGCCTCAGGTCATCACTAGTCTCTCACACTGCGCCGGTGGGATCTTGGTCCATTCTTCTTCCAGTCTCTTCCATAGTTTGGTAGCTGTAGTGGGTTTCTTAGGTATAACTTTGTTGCCAAGGATTTTCCAGAGATTTTCAGATCAGGTTTAGATCAGGACTCTGAGCAAGCCATTTCATTATTTCAGTATTTTCAGCTTCAAGGAACTGCTTTACCTGTTTTGCAGTGTGGTGGGGGCATTGTCTTGCATGAAAATTGCAGGAGGAGCTGAAGGAGGTTCTGATAAATATTTGCATTCCCCCTGCCATGTAGCTGTATAAAAGTCAGAACTCCTGCTGCAGAAAACATCCCCCAAACCATGACACTTCCTCCTCCACTTTTCACTTTATGCACTTAGGGTTCAGTTTTTACTCAGTTTTATGTCAAACAAAATGTTGCCCTTCAGACCCAAATAAATTGAACTTGCTCTCATCACTAAAGTGAACTTTGGACCAGTTCTCATCTCTCCACACGACATGCTCCTCAGCAAAGGTGAGTCTAGCCTTTTGATTCTTTGTGCTGATAAGAGGCTTGGTCAATGCAGAGTGGGCTTTCAAATTCTCTTAAACTTAGCAATTCCAGCTGCAGTGCTGAACCGATTCCCCATTGAGTGTCTCAACATTATCCTGTCTTCTCATGCATTTGTCTTACGTGGACAACCAGCCATTTTGGGGGACTTGAATGAATTAGTGTCTCTCTAAACCTGCAATATTTGAGAAATCACAGATTTGGAATGACCAACTTCTATTGCAATGGCTGAAAGGGTCATCCCTTTGGCCTTCATGTGGACAACCTCCTGTCGCAGAGTTTCAGTCACCTCAGAGCAGCCTGCCATCTAACAATCCCAGTGGAAATGGGAGGAATGCTGCCAGTTAAAAAGGGTTTGTAATATAATTAAGAAAATTAGCACTAGGTGCCAGATTAACGTCAATAACTTATATCTGTATCCGTGTTCTCTAATTTTGATCAGAGTTCTTTTTCAAATATCTCATTTAAGTGTTTTATACTGAGCTTCAGAATACAATAAATTTATGAAATATGCTTAAAAACTGCCCTTCTTCTCCTGTTGGGATCACTTCAAATAGGACTAAGCAGTAACCTTTAAAATGGAGGAAATTATAGGTTGTTCTCTAATTTTGATCACCACCGTATATAGGACAAATGGTTTGGAGCAGTGGTTCCCAACCACGTTTCTGGAGTTCTGCCCAGCACTGCACATTTTGCATGTATCCTTCCTGATTCAACTCATCAGCTCATTAGCAGAAACTCCAAGACCTGAAATAGGTGTGTCAGATAAATAAGACATGCAAAAATGTGCAGATTTGGGGTACTGAAGGAAAGTAGTTGGGAACCACTGGTTTGGAGAATGGATGAATAGTCCATACTGAGCTCTCTGACTTTTGATTGTAGACATTGGCAAATCTGAGCAAAGTTTGAGACATTGGGGAGATGTCTTGGGAAATTCAAGAATAGATGTTTGATTATTCAGGTCTTTTTTCTCAGGAGAACACTTAAAAGCAATATACTTCTACTTTGCTGCCTAGTTAATGTCATTGCTTTCTAGAAGAACCAATTTAAATTGTATGGAGATTTCATTTGTGATTCTTCTTTTCAAACTGAATGTAAACTCTATGAGGCCAGGGTGTGTGTGCTGTGAAATGCTTGAAAACAGATACGCTCCATTGTGTTACAAGATGGCATTTGTACTGAAGACACTTCCAAAAGGCTATCCGTGAAGGTCAGCATAATCACTATGGCAACAGTATGCAAGCTATGGATGTTATCACTCCATGCTTGATCTCCCTTTGAGAGCACGCAAGATCCAACATACTCTTTATAACCTTGTTGTTTTTCCCGTGTCCTTTCTCTCTTTATGTCACAACAGCTCTAAGCACATTTTCAATTTTGCTTCACCTCAGGGCACTGGCACCAAAAAGTGTTGAAAGCAAATTATGTCCACTAAACTCATCAATTTTGTAGCAAACTCTGTAGGACGCTATTAAAAGGCTTTGTGCATACAACTTTAGGGCACGGAAAACAACTTTAAAGTGTAATGCGGCTAATACATCTAGTCATTTCAAGCCCGATGGGACACACTGTATCAATCCCTGCACAAAGACCAGCGATTGGAAACAGCCTCCGGCAGAAGGAGTCACTGTCATCAATCTCAATGATCCTGAAAAAGCCACTTTCTTCCTTCTTGACAACTCTCAGAGGCACGGCTTGTTTCATAAACAGTTCACACCGAAACATCTCAAGCACCTCGGAGAATAACATAAAAAACTAAAGTTCAAACTATCACGTCATCAAGCCATTCAAACCATGATGGCATGGCGGCAGTACGATGGCTAGTCAGTGCTGGTTAGTTTTGAAATTGGTGGAGTTTGTAAGGGAGGAAGGGTTACCTGTGTACAAGGAGATGTAGGCAGAATCGATGACCTCATACTTGAGTCCTGGCAGGAAAGGGCGCCACTGTAATGGAGACAAAGAGAGACATTTAGAGAGAAACTAGTCTCAAGCCTCATACGGCATGGCCACGGTTGGCCAACAGACCATCCTTAGACTGCATGAAGCATATTGCACAGAAACTAGCAAGATTCGGCTGAAATCGACAGTTCTAGCAATTTCTAGGAATCAGGGCACATAGGTTTTCATCAGTCCACCAGAAAGAAGTGTTGTGTTTGGGTACCAATTGAACGCAACAAGTGCTTTTGAGAAAAAATCAGTTGTAGGATTTGATGAAGTTGATGAGGTTCATGCTATTAAATCATTTGAAAGACACTCTAGAATTTTGTAGGAGATGCTTGAGACAGTACTTTTTCACCTTTTGCTTAAAGGGATAGTTCACCCAAAAATGAACATTCTGTCATTAATTACTCACCGTCATGTCATTCTAAACCTGTAAGACCTTTGTTCATCTTCAGAACACAAATTAAAGTGTTCATAAAGTGTCATATGAAGCTGCTAAAAAGAACATTGTTTTGTGTATTTGGTGTAATGAAATGTGTTTATGCGGTTTAAGGTTAAAAAAACACATTATTTTCCACATACTGTACATTATTGTGTCTGAGAAAGGAAAAATTTAAATTGCATCATATGACCCCTTTAAGATATTTTTGATGATTTCCGACAGCTCTGGGCCCGGTTGCATTAAAGCCCTTAAGCTAAGAAATCCCTTAGTTATAAGGTTAAGGGAGCCCTTAGTGAAACTTAGGTTGCAAGATAAAAATGTAAGGGTCAACTTAAGGAACCTTAAGGCTGCCATTAAGTATTCCCCTTAATTATTTATCGATTCGATATCGATTCTCAAAAGCCGCGAATCGATCTTTTCCGGTATTTATTTCAGCAAACATTTAAAACAAGATCTGATTAATGTGAATCTTATCATTAGTCTTCTCCACTAGATGTTTTTTTACCTTGCGCGATGTTACATCAGAAAGCCTGTCATTCATTCAGTGCTTATCATGGCAGAGATACTGCTGACAAGAACCAAGAAAGCAATGTGTGATTTGCAATGCTCAGGTGAAATGCTATAGTAATACTACAAATCTGCAGAAACATTTGACATCACGTGTAAAAGCGCCATGATCTCCGCAACGAACGAATGGTGCACTGTTTTGTTTACTACACACATACTAAAGCACGGACGACGCTCACGGTGTTTTCAGCCTCTGCCGTCTCTCTATATGATGATATGACCACGAATGTCATCTCCAGCTGTTCTGAGAGTCACTTCATTAGCATTTTACTGTTTAATTTGAGAAAACTACCATCATATCACATACACAGCAGCTGCAAGTTCTTCACGGCAACCCGTCAAAATAATAGTTCAGTTTAACGTGAAGAAACTGTGACAGAAATATATTATTATTGTGCAGTCTCAAGACTCAATGTAACAACAATGCTACTATTACTACTACTACTACTACTAATAATAAATATTTATTTTTAAAGGAATAATCACATCTGTTTTCTTTTTAATTTTAACAGTAAACCTCTGTTGTGCAGCACTTTGCTTGCCAAAAAAATAAAAGGGTTTAATTTTCATTTGATTACAATAAATTAAATGAATGTTTTATGCCTTCATCTGATTACCAGAGAAATTAAGCAAAACATTTTATAGGGCCCTATTATTGTTTAAACAAAAGGACCCTATACAAAAAAAAAAGAATAGGTTTAAAATACAGGCCTGTGGCTCTTTATTTCTTTTTATTAATTTACCATTTGTAAACTGATGTTTACTGTTAATTTTTTAGAAATATCAATAGCATTTGTATTAAAACTATATTCACTGAATGTAATCAAGAAAATAGAGAATCGAATCAAGAATCAAATCGAATCTAAGAGCTTGTGAATCGAAATCGATACCCAGCCCTACAACGTATGTATGCGGATATGTTGTTTACGCTTTGATCTGAGCGTAAACAACGTATCCGAGTATATACGTTGCATACGTTGTTTACGTATGTGATACTCTCCAAAATGGCGCTACTGGGTGATGCGGAGGAAACTAATTGTTGAATAAAGTTGTTATTTTTGTTTTCTCTGCACACAAAACGTATTTTCGTAGCTTCGTGAAATTACAGTTGAACCACTGATGTCACATGAATTATTTTAACAATGTCCTTGCTACGTTTCTTACGGGTTTGGAATGACATGAGGGTGAGAATTTTCATTTTTGATTGAACTATCCCTTTAAATGTCCGGTTTTAAGCCAATAAGAGCATGTCTATACAATTATAATTTCTTTCTGCACTGGGGTGCTGCAAAATTAGCTGTTTAGCTATCCATGCTTTGAACATGTGTGGAACAATATGGAATCATACCATACTGAAACATGTCCTAAAAAAATATTACCATTACTTGCCTACCTTAGTTGGTCATAAGCTGGTTATAAGCTGGTCATGTGCTGGTCCTAAGCAACTAGCTCCTGCTCAGGGCCAGCTCATAACCAGCTAATAACCAGTTTAGGACCAGCTCATGACCAACTAAGGATCAGCTTAAACCAGCTGCCATGCTTCAAAACTTACCTAACCAGCATATGCTGTTTTTTCAACATGGTGGACCTTCTGTCCTGGGCCTGGATTTGAGTGTGGCCCAGAAAGCAATCATTTTAATGGAGAGGGAACAAATTATGAGTTTGGGTCCTTTGCATTAGTCAGAGGGTCAGCTCATGACCAACTAAGGATCAGCTTAAACCAGCTGCCATGCTTCAAAACTTACCTAACCAGCATATGCTGTTTTTTTCAACATGGTGGACCTTCTGTCCTGGGCCTGGATTTGAGTGTGGCCCAGAAAGCAATCATTTTAATGGAGAGGGAACAAATTATGAGTTTGGGTCCTTTGCATTAGTCAGAGGGTGTCTTCTTGTCTAAGTGTTTGGTTCCTGGCCAGAAGAAGTGGCAAAGTAGACCTGACAGTAAAAAGCCTTTATGCTGACAGTCAAAAGTCTGGCAACAAAAGACTGAAAAGAAACTGTGAAGTAATGAGACACTAAGTTGTGGAAAAAGTATTGCACAAAGTGACGAAATCACCTCTTGACGATGGACATGTCATCAAACCCTTTAGTGTCGACAGGTCTGATAAAAGTTTTGAAATGGTGTAGACACATAGCAACTGTGCCTTAATCAGATGTGATGGCACGTTTCTGATCTCAATGTGGAAATGTTGCGCGACCAACAAAATATCATCACGTTGGGAGTTAAGTCTAGAAACTCCGACTAGGATAGAAGAGATGGAACTGCTTGCCGATTTATCACATTAATCCTATTTAGATGTTGAGAAGCCGTCTTTTTTATTTTTAAATCACCTCTTGACGATGGACATGTCATCAAACCCTTTAGTGTCGACAGGTCTGATGAAAGTTTTGAAATGGTGTAGACACATAGCAACTGTGCCTTAATCAGATGTGACGGCACGTTTCTGATCTCAATGTGGAAATGTTGCGCGACCAACAAAATATCATCACGTTGGGAGTTAAGTCTAGAAACTCCGACTAGGATAGAAGAGATGGAACTGCTTGCCGATTTATCACATTAATCCTATTTAGGAGATGTTGAGATGTCGTCTTTTTTATTTTAATTTTTTAAGAAAATAGGAACCAAAAAGGCCCCCATGGAATCCTATATTCCTGTATTGATTGCCGAGAAAAATTGTATTGATGACCAATGAATGGAACTATAAGAGATGGAGGGATATTCTGCATTGCTATATATTTGTCTACATTTCAAGCAAGGTCACCCTCACTAAATAGATTCACCCGTCCAATCACAACACAACATGCAGCAGGAAATGAGAGACACACTCACATCAACAGTAGCTTCTTCAGCAGCACACTTACAAACCATCAGACAAGCTACAATTCTTTTAATGACGTTGTGCAATTACCATGTCACTTCTGCTTATGCTCGCTGTAATGAGGGGAGACAGGCCATTTTCCACAAGCCAAACACACACATACACACACACACACACACACTCACACACACTCAAAACATTATTGAGGAACAACCAGTTTGAAGATATGTTATGTTTCATTTGGAGTGCGAAAATATGATTTTTGTGTAAAGCAAGCATATACAGGTGCATTTAATGTCATCATGTCATATTTCCCTCCAATTTATTTTTTATTTTTAGTGTGTGTGTGGGGGGGTCATTATCTGATTTTCATTATTTTATTATTTTAAATTTTATGTCAATATTAAATTAAATGATAAAATGAAAAGCAGTTCAATAATAGTACCATTAAATATGAATACATAATGACTAAATTTAAATTTAATAAAGGAAAATTTATTAATTATAAAAATTAATAAAAACATTTTTTGCATCGTGATACTTGTAAGTAGCTTTGGATAAAAGCGTCTGCTAAATGACTAAATGTAAATGTAAATGTAAATATTTCCAAATAATATAGTGAGTTCTCTACATTTCGCTCACTTTTCATATTTATTTATTAATTTATGAATAATAGATTTATATATATATATATATATACATACACAAATGTTGTAGGTTGGTGGTTTCTCCGTTTTATTTATAAATTATCTATTATTTATTTACATTAAACAATTTATTTATTTACATTTATATTTGCAATATGGGAATGAAATATTGTTGTAATATATCAGAACACTATCATATCATATATCATATATCAAATTCAATTTGCATTATTCTGTATTATATACAGGTACATCGCAATAAATTTGAAGGGTGCAGTGACGTTAGTTTTCAAAAAACACAATGGACCAACACCTGCAGATGACATTGCAACCCAAATCATCACTTTTCCACGACATTCTAATTTATTGAGATGCACCTGTATTATATCAAATAAATAACACATATTGTGCTGTGTTATATCAAATATTGTATCACATATCACACCTTTGTGTCATGTATTTACAAAATATCAAAAATATATTATATTATATTTCCAAATAATATAGTGAGTTCTCTATATTT